GGACTGATTTCCTACGCAGCTTCGAGTTTAAATCGTAGTATTCGTTAACTTTGAGCCTAATCGCTTAAACCCAGTCCAAATTGCTAAAGGTGAAAAGGAGAAATGTGAAGATGGATGTAATGATTAGATAACTTTATATTCATCAGTTCGAAGGCATAGCCTTGCTAGGTTTCAAATTCGTTAAGATTGCGATTTTCCTGAACTCTAGAAAATTCTGTTGAGTACTGGTCACTCATCAACCACGTTTTTGAAGCTTTATCCTATAGGCATTTAATTAACACCGCTACAAGTCTGTTCAGCAGCATTTGTATAGAGATACTGAATTTTTTTATCATATCGAAATGAAATTACACAAAAATATTACGAGATCAGAGGAGATCATCAGAAACATAAAATAAAAAAGAAACGATACAATCACCCGACTAGTTTAAATTAATTTTTTTCCCTCTTGCTGTATCCAGCCATAAATACATTTGAACTGACATGCTATGACTCAGCATTTGTTATAGTGAAGAAATTTTGTCTAGGGAAATAAGGAGAGTAACAAAAGAGAAAAATTCTTGAAATATGTTTGAAGAAAGAGGACAAGGATAGACAAAAGAACTTATTAACTCCTCATAAACAGCAGAATGATAAGTTGAAGACATGGCCATGTCAAATTACACGTTGCTGCTATAATCATTGCAATACATGTTCCATAGAACAAAATATCAAACTTGGAAGCGGTGTTGGGAAAATTGCAGCTTGGATCCAAGCCCATTTCTAAAAGTGCTCGCCGAAATGGCACGCTCCTCCCATAAGTTTTCTTTGATCTTCTCTGGGAGTTCAATGAGTAAATGTACTCTTCAACACAAAGGTGGACGAATCGTTCAATTCAACTAAAGAAACCTCAGAAGAATGGACATAAATGATCTATTTTTGGATTACGAAGGTCTAATTACAAGCTGTACAACTCAGGGCTTGCGTTATTTTATCCTCTCACAACCCTTGAGTCGAAAACTGGTTCCTGGATAACGATGCTCCACGTTCTAATTAAAGGGGGGAATCATCGCCTTCTGTGCGAGCCGGTCTATAGTCCACCAGATTTCCGCAGTAAGCATAAGAATTTCAGCTTCTCGAGATCGTGATCCTCGTTGGCTGGATCACAGAATGTGGCGAATAGTTCAAACGAGATCGAACCAGGCTCAAGACGTGCAAGTTGGAAGAACTGTAACATTCTTATGAGAATTGTAAAGAACATTATGAAGTGTCAGAGAAAATGTAAACATGAATTATAGTTTACCCAACAATTCAAGTTTAAACGATCAGACCGTACTCAAGATGGGCAAGTTGAAAGAACTGTAGAATCCTTATAAGAATGATCAAGAGCATTATGAAGTGTCAGAATGTAAACATGATTATTATAGTTCGAGCAAAATAATATGTTAGTGCGGGTATCACCAACGTATGACGACGAGTAATAAATTCAAAATCAACAGTGGTCTCAGTTGAATGAAGAAAGCGCAGGAAAAATTTGCAAAAAAAGGCGTGGCTTGGGTGGAGTCGACATATTTCAAAAGATGGAGAGAGTAATATTTTGAATAGATTAACTGAAATTAGGTCGTATTCATTTTTACCAATCTTGAATATTGCTATCAAAAATTTTTCAAGCAAATTTTTTGGAGATTCTGATTTGAAACTGCAATCACACATAGTCTCTACGCCAATACTCCTGCCATTTTGTGAGAATATCAATTACCTCACTTACCAATAAATGTTTCAGATAAGGTAATAACAGTTGTTTTGCTTCACTTTCTGGTGCACCTGCAATCATCCTCACAATATGGCATACAGAGCTGATTGGTTGATAGAGGGAGCCTGTATGAAAATTTTAATTGTTAAAAGGTAGGACTGTTCTCGATACCACTCACCTTGACTCGATTCCTTGACAAATTTGTTCACTGCAACTTCTATAGTCTCCTGCAGGATTTTTATCGAAGGATGTACTGGAAAATAAGTCTTTTTGGCAGTAATAACAATATCAGAAGAAAAACCTTGCGTATCGCTGGCCATCTTTAGTCTTTTTTGTTTTGGTTCGCCACTTCTCCAAGCATTCACCTTTTTATATTCTCTGTCAATGATCCATACAGACATTAGCATCACCTGGAGAGAAAAAAACATTGATAGCTAAGCTTATCATTAGAAAACAAATCAATCACCTGAGTTAGTAGTTTGACAAGGGGTATCACATAGGGGACTTCAAATTGTACCTGGCTCTTTTTGTCCATCATGAAATCAACCATAAGCTAGAAAAACAGCGAGGAACACTACGTAGATAATGCACCAAAAATAAAATTAGATGTGATTATGAGATAAATAGGAAAAAAAATCAAATAATCAACTTCTCTCATAAGAATAAATAAATGGATATTGATATAGAGATGTCATTTGTATATGTGTTTTTATAAGAAAAAAAGATTATGCACGATTAGTTTACCACGCATGCGGTGATTAGAGTTTCCTGAGGCTCCAGCAACAAACAGGCACATATAGTCTCAATAGCACGATTCATGACATCTGGACAGCGCAACTTCATCATATGATGCATGTAGAACTGAAAAGTACAAAATCCGATTTAAAATATTTTACGATAACCTTAATCCTTCATCAAAAAATACCTCAAACCAAGACTTATGCGCTCCAGCTCTGTTACAGTGGTCAATCAGGTGCAGGACATTCGGACTAGCCCAATTTTGCCGCTGTGCAAATAGCCATGCCTTTTTTAGCATTTCCTTGTCAGGAACCTAGAAACTTAGTTAAGTTCAAGTGA